ATAGACCCAAACCTGAAAATACAATCCCCCCCCCCATACCCCTACTGGGGGACACACTTGCCAATAGCAGCCATTGCTTGTGGAAGCTTGTGAGTACTGTGAGAGGGGAGGATGGGCTTCTCAGGCTTCCCTCTTGCACCATTTTCCTGAGTTGAAATGGTCTTGGGGGGCCTTGCTTGCCCTTTTCTCAGGCTCCATGTGTCCCAGAATCATGTGACCGAGGACATGTGGATCCTGAGAGAGGGGCAAACAGCCCTCCTCCCCCAGTCAGCTATTTCTACTCTGAAAACAGTGTGGGAAGGAAACCTACAGCCCCTCCTCCCCTCTCACAGCTCTATGTGAGCAATGATAACTTCTGCAAGTGAGTCCATGTGTCTGTAATCTAGGTTGGGGGACCCAACTTGGCTTGCATCACATATATCATTTTCCATTTGTTATCTTTCTGTAGTTCTCTTGTAATTTCTTCCTGCTTTCTCAAACTGGATCAAAGGTGAATTGAGAAAGCACATAGAAGCCAACTGGAAAAACCCACAAAAGGACAACAATTTTTTTAAACAAGGAAATGAGGAAACTCAGAGTCTAGCACTCGTATTGTGAGTGCTGTGTGAAAAGAACTTCGAGTGTGTAGTATCCTCTGGGGTCTGGTGTGTAGGAGTATGCTTACCTAACCAGATAGTCAGGACACAGGAGACTCTGGCAGCTTCAACAATAGGCTCCTTTATTGCTTCCAGTGGGGGAGACACACTGTTCTAGAACTAAGTGAGGCCCCTCCCATACAGGTCTTGGGGGGGGGTAACCGAAACGGGTTTGTGAGAGCTCACTTAAAGGCATACACAAATATATGCATCACAAAGTGGTAGATAGGGCGGGGGAAACATGCTCCCTGGCCGGACCATTCCTCCCTGTAACGCAGCATGCCGTCGCCAGGAAGTGACGCCAGGTGACGCTCTGGCAATGGGGCTGAAAACTCGATGGTACCATTGAGTTTCCAGCCCCATTGCCAGAGCGTCACCCGGCGTCACTTCCTGGCAACGGCATGGTGCGGCGCGTGTGTTGTCCCTGCAGGAATGATCCTGCAAAGACGTCTGTGTCCCCCACCGGATCACGGTAAGTACTTGGGAAGCCTGGTGGTAGAGAAGATGCCTACGTTGCCGTGATGCTTGAATAGTTCTTCATCTTGTGGTGTTTCCTGTCCTCAGCTCTCTAGGGCTGCTGCCAAAGGACCTGGATTTCAGGACAGTGAGATTATAGTTCTGGCTCCTTGTCTTCCTGTCACATGGCTCTGATCTTATATGACTTCCAGTCATATGTTTGCAGCTCAGTGGGACTCGTGGGGATGATCCCTGGTCTGGAACAGTTGAAGGCCAGTGTTCTAATTGCTTTTGAGATACTCTTGAGAACTGAAAATAAAAGAATAGGAAAGTCCATAGAGCACGGCTACATTGCTACTATACATGTTGCTGCTAACTGCATGGCATATTTGAAAAAACATCTTGTCCAAGTCAGTAGACACCTACCCATAAAAATCTACTACAAGCCTCTGTGTGTGTGCCAAGATTCCTGTGCCTGATGCTTTCTGTAAATAACTCATCAGTTAGAATTCTCTCATTTTGGTGCTGAAAACCATTTGGATAGGGTTGACAAGCATCCTGATCACATTTAAATAAAAAGCCAGCATTTCCAGAGCAGGGAAATGATTGATGTTGAATACGAGACTCAACACAGCTTGTGAACAGTGAATCAGCTTTTATTAACTTCACGGGTGTCACAATAAGCTTCACGGGTGTCACAATAGGGGTTTCCCATTTTGCATGCGATACCGGTTCTAATACACCTTGGGCCACAAGCTTGTCTAGCTCTGCTACAATTCGCGGCTTCATTGAAATGGGAACCTTACGATACTTTAGCCTTATGGGTGCTACTGAGGGATCCAGATCAAAAGTTACTGGCGGCCCCCTATACTTTCCCAGTGTCCCATCAAATACATCAGCAAATTCAACATACAATGAACTCAATTTATTCGCGCTGACCTGGTTAATCCCAGTAATTGCAATTCCGAGGGCCTCGAACCAGTCCAAGCCCAAGAGGCTGGCTCGGTGCCCCTTGGCAACGAGGAGGCTCAGCGACTCTCAAAAGTGGCTTCCCCGTCCCTGAAAATCAGAGAGGTGAATGGTTCTCGGCTTCAAACGCCGACAACTCCATCGTGGAAACAAATGCTGCAATGTCTCTGATGAGATGACGGTCACGGCTGATCCCGAGTCGACCTCCATCTCACAGGGTACACTATTCAGCATGACGGTGACGTGGATCTTCTTCCTTGATCGCGATCCAGTTTTCAGGATGGTCGAAGGGCAGGAACAGCCGTTGGTCAGATGGCAATCTGTAGACCTTGCATTGTCCTCGCCTCGAACTCGGAGACGTACATGAGGAGACGACGGTGGTGTCTTCTTCTTCTTAGCCCTGCAGACTCTGGCCAAATGGCCTCGCTTGTCACAGGATCTGCAAACGATGTCCCTCGCCCAGCAGCGATCCCGCTCGTGATCTCCGCCGCATCCAGCACAGACTTGCCTTGGCAAGGTTTTCACTGGGGTCCGCTTGGCCCTCAGAGCTCAAGAGTTGTGGACGTCATTGCACTCACCATCGGACTCCCTTGTCGATTCGTGGTGCACTGACCTGCTGGCCCCTCGTTGGATTGGGGTCAGATTCTGACGCACTTCTTGTGTCGCTTTCTCAGCGGCCTCTGCGGTGACAGCCTCTGAGTAGGCCATGGCATAGGCCGCTGCTGCAGCTTCTCGTCTTTCATGCCACACATGAGCCAGTCGAGGAGCGCTTCCTCAAGGTCTGAGAAGTTGCACGGGCGCGCAGCCTTCTGCCTGGGACCGCTTATAGAACGCATGCTGACTAGTGATCTGCGATGGTTGCTGCGCGAAATGACCCTTCAGCTTCAGCTTTAGGTCAGCCAGGGACACAGCCTTGATTTCAGCTGGAGCGACCAGGGACCGAGCAACGTCGAATACAGCTCTCCCACAGGAACGGAGGAACGTCACCTTCTGCTGATCCTCATCCTTGATCTGGTTTGCCTGGAGGTGGAACTCGAACCTGGCGAGGTAAGCGTCCCAGTCCTCTAGATTTGGTTCAAACTCTTCAAACCACGGGTTGACGGCCATCACTGTTCGGGGTGCAGGCACTGGTACAAGTGCTGCAGCAGCTTGATCAACCCGGTCTCATTCTTCTGCCCTGGGTTCCTCGGAGGCTTCTCGGTCGCCCGCCGTTCTGGCGTCGTTTCAGCAGGGCTGCCTACCCACTCTAGTATCCCACCTTCGTCGCCAATTGTTGAATACGAGACTCAATGCAGCTTGTGAACAGTGAATCAGCTTTTATTAATGAAGTCAAAAGAAATCAGAATGAGACAAAAACATAGAGCAACAGGCTCTCTTTTAAACAGTCCAGGCTTGGTAGGCCACGTCCATATGTCATTCAACAACCAATCACTATTTACAGATAAGGTCCAATCGTAGTGCTTCTCTCCAGAACATTGTGCAGCTCTGATTGGTGGACTTACAATCCTGTCCAGAACTCAAGCTCACTATAGAACTTAATACATAACAGTTGACATATTCAAAGTTGGGGTGCGTGTGAAATAATGAAAATAGCTGCTCTTGAGGGTGGATGTTATGCCATACTAACTGACATTTCATTTGTGTGTTTTTCCTTGCTAAATATTTGTGTTCGCACATAAAAATAATAACACAGCAGAGGTGTGTGAATTAGCTAAAAGAAAAGTTTACTAATTATTAGGGAGGGTTACATGGAGGTTCAAAACAATAAACAGTCTTGCTGTCTGAGCTACATTTTCCCAGCTACTGTTAGTACCAAGATGGATGCTCTCATGATCTGATCTTAGAACAGAGGAAGGGAGAAAGAAACCTAAAATGCTGACATGACAAAACTCAGGCAACATCTCCCAATTACAATGACCAATGACCAGGCTAAAGGTTAGTTCATTACGCATAAGGCATTCTCCTTCTAACATGGGAACCTCTACTCGATGCCCCATAAGTCCTCACTAACTAATAATTAGCACAGACAAACAGGTTAACTCTTTCATGACATGAGGGAGAGAACTTGCAGATACTCCAACAATTTGCATTGGCTAATTTCCATTCTGTGACAGCAGCAGCCGTGTTTACAGCTTCCCACAAATTTGGGAGCTGATCTGAAATGCCTTGTCTTGTTTGCACTCCTTGTTCTTCTGCATTCAATACTCTCTCTCTCTTTCTCTCAGCCATATCAAAGTTGTGGACCTTCTGTTCCTCACTTTATAAGCCTGAACAACAACAAAACAATAGAAAAGGGAGAGGAGGTGAGTAAAGACTGGATGAAGAGAGAAGAGATAGGCAGAAGAAAAATCTGAAAACAGTTAAGTCCTGTGCAATTCCTCAGTGACTAGCTAAGAGTCCAGTAGCTACCACTGAGATCATTGGCGCTTGAGTGTGAAGCCATGAATCAGACACATTCCTCTACTCAGAAACAAATTATATTTCTGGATAGGCAGAGTACTTGTGGGGAGCACAATGACTTTCCTGGGTCTCTCTCAGAGATGAAAAGGGAAGAAGAAGGTGAGGAAGAAATCTGCTCAACTGCTGGAGGAAGATTTTCTTTGTGTGCACAAACCAGCTGCAAATGCCTGAAGACCGAGGAAAGTCAGATAGAGAGCAGAGCATTCCATGATGGCAAAAAGCAGCGAAGACACAACACAATCTAATCTCTGGACTGGGACAGGCGTGCTTCTTCCTGCTTCGCTCAGGATGGGTAAGAGGCATTGATGTTCGTGGCACAGAAAGAGGACTGAGGCATCCTCATGACCTCTGTCATTTCATTTGAGACCCAGGTTGCTTTTTTTACCCATCAGCACTTGTGTTTCCCCAGTTGTTAACCTTCCACTGTGTGATGTGTGTGCCATAGTTCCTCCTAGTATCAGAGCACACCTTGTGTATTCAATGACGGCAGAGCTCATTGAAGAAGCTTCATGGGGCAACTTCTCGGATGATGCCAGGCTTGGAGAGGAAAGTCCTGTCACAGGAGTCTTGGGCACAGTCCTCATCATTATGTTTCTGGTTGGGATGGTAGGGAATATTTATGCACTGGTGGTGGCATTTAGTGGCCTGTCTGGTCGCTCCACTGGATCTTTGTGTGTGTACATAATCAACTTGGCCTTGGCTGACTTACTCTACCTTTCCACCATTCCCTTTGTGGTCTGCACATATTTTGCTCACAACTGGTTCTTTGGGGATTTGGGCTGCAGGATTTTGCTCAGTTTGGACCTGCTCACCATGCATGCTAGCATCTTCTTGCTTACCACCATGAGCTTGGAGCGTTACTGGGCAGTGACTAGGCCGCTGAGGGCCAGATGGGCTGGAAAGAGATACCGCAAGCTTGCCAGTGTAGCTGTATGGCTCCTCTCATTGTTGCTTACTGTACCCATGATGGTTATGATCCAGCAGCGGGAAGGCATCAGCCACAAACATATCTGCTTTCCCACATGGACTCCTGATGCTTTTCGAGTTTACCTCACAATTCTGTTCAGTACAAGCATCCTCGGGCCTGGTCTGGTCTTGGGCATAGTGTATTCCTGCCTTGCCCAGGCCTATTGGACCTCCATGAAAGTCATGCAGCCACGAGTGGTGGGCAGGGTCTTGAAACAGAAACTGTTCTCCAGGATCTTCAGCATCATCGTAGCCTACTGGGCCTGCTTTGTACCATTCTGGGCCTGGCAACTAGCCAAGTTGTACTGGTCTGAGGATTTGGAGATCGGCCCTACTGCTCAGGCTTACCTCAACTTCGGCGTGACCTGCTTGACCTATGGTAACAGCTGTATCAATCCATTCCTTTATACCCTGCTCACCAGGAACTACCATGAGTACATGGCAGCCCGTGGAGGGGAAAGGCAGGGAGGAGGGCAGGTTCTCTTCAGAAGGAGGAAGTATGAAAAGTCCCAAGCAGAAGGCACAAAGGCTATGTGGCTCAAAGGCTATGTTGGCACAAGGAGGAATGTTTAAATGAAGGAGGCAAAGGAAAATAATTAACTCCCAAGACAAATTGTAACCAAGATACAGAAGAGTTCTATGGATACTCAGTGTATTAAATATAATTGTATCCTTAAAGCTGTTTCTTCTCTTATTGAACAGCACCGCAATGATCTCCATTCATTTGGGATTTATTCATGCATTACAGTGTTCAGTTAGTTATCAGCGGACAGCCAGACCATGTGAAACTGTAAGCATGAATCACTATCATGCTCTGCTTTGTACCACTTGACTATGCGGTGTAGAGGTATCATATGAGTTTCATTCCTGTGATCTATGTTTGGGTTCCCCAGGGGTCATTTCGTAGAAAAAGAGGTGCAGGAGCTCATTAGCATAACTCATTAGCATAACTTATTTGCATATGCCACGCCCCCTGGCATCACTAGAAGTGTGTCAGAAGGCAACACCCCCTGCCCAGGCTCCACTGGACTGTTTTGGATTGCTAGCTTTTTGGGGGGGGGAACGTGCAGATATGTCCTCGCAGAGGAGGGAGAGCTTATACCTGAATAAAACTTGGTCTTAAAGGTGCCACTGGACTGTTTTGGTCTGGGGTGTTGGGGAGAGCTCTGCAACTTACCTGGCTGCTTCTTGCTCTGACTGAGGGCTACTGGGACCAGGGGGTGGGGCTTGTTGCATGTGCCCGCCCCCTGGGCTCTTTACTGCCGGAGCTCCGCTCCTGTGCGCTCCTGCAGGAAATGACCCCTGGGGTTCCCCCAGATGGTGCAAACCCTCTAGGAAGAGCCATAGTTTAATGGTAGGGGAATCTCATCCACCCTGTAGATCCCGTCCCCCCTCCCCTGCTATCTGCACTTTCTGTCCTTCTCTTGCTGCTACCACAGCTTCTCCCCTTCCCTTGCTTCCCTCTCTCACTCCAGCCTCCATCTTCCCCCCTTTTTTTGCTCCATTTTTCTTGCCCCCTCAAGCTTTTTTCTTGTCCTGCCTGCCTACCAGCCCACTCCTTCTCCCCCCACAACATAGTAGGGCTGCCAAGTGGGGGCGGAGGGCGGGGAAACCCCAGCTTTGGAGGCCCGATTTCCGCCGCCATGGAATTGGGCCCCGGGGTGAACCCCGGGGCATGCCCCAGATCGTTGGGGGGAAAGCCATATGGTTCCCCCCCCGATGATCTGGGCCACGCCCCCAACGTGCCCTACATCGTGCGTCACTTCCTGTGATGTTCTGGCCGCGCGCGTCCCACGGCAGCTCCCGGAGGGAAGAAACGCTCCCCCGCGGGTGAGTCATGCCGACTTGGCAACCCTACAACCAACCACCACCTTGGCTCAGTGGGAGAGGGGAATACAGGTAAGGTGGCCAACCTCCAGGTGGTGGCTGGAGATCTCCTGGGATTTCAACTGAATTCCAGGCAACAGAGATCAGTTCCCCTGGAGAAAAAGGCTGCTTTGGAGGCTGGATTCCATGGCATTATACCCCTCCCCAAACCCCACCCTCCTCAGGTTCCACCCCCAAAATTGCCAGGAATTTTCCAACCTGGACCTGGCAGCCCTAAATACAGGCTATGGCTAGAGTTGAGCTAGCTCTACTCAGTTCACCTCCGTTTTTATTCTGCCACTGCTTCCCCCACTGCATTCTGGGAATTGTAGTTCCCAGAACATCTGAAATTAACTGAGGGGAGATGACCCCAGGACCATAAGTCCAGAGTCTAAAATTACCTAACTGCACCACTAACAGAGTGCAATTTCTCACCCTTTGGAAGGCCATTGCTCTGTCTCCCTCTTTCTCTCTCTTTCAGGGATGGAGCTGGGGGGCAGGCCCCGCCCTCCCCCTGCTGTTTTCCTCCCATAGCTGCTCTCAAAATGCCAGCTCACTGCTTCCCTTCCATCCTTCTCATAACCCCTTTTAGCAATTACTTTTGGCTGCCCTCCGGCTCTGAGGAATGGACTCCGTTGAAGAGGTGAGAGGGGCCCCCTCCTTGGAGATGCCTATTCCCCGGGCTTTTGAGGAGGTTTGAATACCAGGAATCTTTTAAGGCAGGGAGAGGGAAGGAATTTGGGGCTTGTTATTTTTTTAATCTTTGGTTTTAGCTGGGGATGTTTTAGCTATTATTGTAAGCGGCATTGAACCAAGAGGAAAGGCTCTATATAAATGTTTTGATAAATCATTGTAATTAGAAAATAAGCCTTATCATAAATGTTTTGGAATCTGTCTCAAGTTGCAGCTATTTTATTATAAATATAGGTCTGTTGTGAAATTAGACATTCTACAAGAAGCGGGACCCGCGATACTCCTGGGGGGGAGTATTCCTAAAGGCTTCCAGCCTGCAGAAGCAGCTCTGCAGGTAAGTCATCCCCCACCGGACCCCGGTGGCAAGGCCTGAGCGCCTCACAGCCACAGGGTCCACCGATTCCCCCCCCCGGGCACCAGTGGTGAGGCCTGAGCGCCTCCCAGCCGCCGGGCCCTCCGATCTCCCCCCCCAGGTACCGGTGGTGAGGCTTGAGCGCCTCCCAGCCACCGGGCCCGCCAGCTCTTTTACTTTTGGGGGGATTTAAATATCCTCCGTACAGTTTTAAAAACTTTTTAGATTTTTCTGCACACCTGGGGACTGCCCCAAGTGTGCAGGAAAATCTCTCTGCCCCCCCCCCCGGTGCCCCTGATATGCGGATTTAGATATCCGCACGGAGGGGGCAACTTGGCTATTAGATATACAGATTCAAGGTTGGGTTGGTTTGTTTTTTAAATGATGGCCTGTTTATTAACACACCTTTCTTCGGAAGCCAGGGCAAGGCAGCTGTTGATTGCTGAGGAAATTAATACATCGTACAGAAGGTGGAGACAGTTCCATAGGGACGGCTGCATTAGTCTTTTGCAACAAAAAAGAAAATCTTGCTCAGGCTGAAAGACTTTTTTGTTCTCATACAAGCTTTTGTGGAGGAGTGCCTTCAACAACATATAACTGGGGGGTGGAGAGCAGAGGTCAGGTAGTGGTGATGCTTAGGGTAAGGAAAGAAATGTCTCTGTTTTCATCAGTGATCGGTGGAAGGGTATGAGACCGCCTTTGCTTTTCAGGGTGGGTCATCAACAGTAAGGGAAGGAATGTCTTATATGACTGTAACATGCCTCATTGCCTGACTAGTTCTTGAGGCAAAAACACAAGCAAAGCAAAAGAGAGAAGGGCAGGGAGGCCGCGGTATCCTGTGACTGCTAAGGGGGGGCGTTAAGAGTCATCTCAGTGAGGCCAAGAGGTTCAGTGAGCACAGAAAATCTTTGCCAAAATGCAGCCCACTCACGGCTGTTGTCAGGAGTTGTGCAAAGGCTAAAACAGGTCCACTGGCCTCTAATTTACTTCCAGGTTCAACTCTAGGTATTGGGTTCTTACCTCTAAAGCCCTTCATAACCCTAGAGCAACATACCTGAAGGACTGCTGCTTCCCATATGAATTGCCAACCTCCAGATGGGGGCTGGAGATCCCCCAGAATTCCAACAGATCTTCATAGAATGGAGATCAGTTCCCCTGTTGGAAGATGGCTGCTTTGGAGAGTGGACTCTATAGCATTATACCCTGCTGAGATTCGTTCCTTCTTCACCAAATAGGGATGCCAGCCTCCGGGTGGGACTTGGGGATCCCCTGGAATTACAGCTTGTCTCCAGACTACAGAGGTCAGTTCCCCTGGAGAAAATGGATGCTTTGGAGGGTGGACTCTATGGCACTGCACCCCACTGAGGTCCCTGTCCTCCCCAGGGGATTCCTCCCCAGGCTTCATCCCCGAATGTCCAGGAGTTTGCCAGCCTGGATCTGACAACCCTACTCCTCCATCTACTGCTGGAGGCCAGGGGGGACTTGCAACCCTACCCCCAAACCCTTCTCTCCCCAGGCCCCACCTACAAATCTCTAGGAATTCCCAAACCCTGCTTCCCTTATAGGGTTGCCAGATCTTACCTGGCTGCCAGCGGGAGGGGGGATCCCCTCTCTATCCGGGATCTTTTTGGCATGGGTAGATGTCACCCGGACGTGATGTCATCGTACAGGGTACATTGTGGGGGACATTCTATCATTTGAGGAAAAACGCTGTTTTGAATGATAGAGCGCCCCCCCCCCCCGCGCACCGTGCCCAGCACAATGTCATTGCACCAGGCACATTGGCATGAATGGGGCACTTTGGGGGCGGGGTCCCCCCCACCGGCTGGAACCAGGCCAGCAGATTGGGGCTCCTAAAAACAGGCATATCCCCACCCCTGTTGGGGGAATGGCAACCCTGTTCCCATAGGACTTCAGACTACACACGAGCTAAGGTCTGCATAGCAGTCCATACTTATAGTCCCCCACCCCATCTGGCAGATCTGTGTGGCTTTTGTAAGGCTTCATGCTTTCTCTGTTGTGTCTGTCTTCTAGAATACATTACCAAAGGCAGTTCACATTCGGCCTACACCAATATCTTTTTTGTCAGGCTTAGAAGATGGTTCTGTTCTGCTGGACCCTTTAGTATAATTGAGAATAGACATTTCTGTAGCAGTTCTTATTATGTTTTTTAATCAACTGCCTATTAAAGCTGTATTTTAATGTAGGTCTGTGGAGTAGTATATGTTGCTTTGGAAAGGCAGGATACATATTTTTCAAAATTGGGAACTCGCCATAGAATGCGTTTAAGCTCTTGGTAAGTTGGCCATTTCCCTGGAGAGGAAAATCTTATCACACTTCTTCACCTAAGCAGAAATGCGTAGAAGAAAACAGTGATAGAGGGGACCAGACTTTCATATGGTTCACCATAGAACACCAGGCTAAGTTACCAGTGGGCAAGAAGGCCACGCAAATTCCCCCATACAACATGTGGCAGGGTGAGAATACTGATGACCATTTACCAAGTCCAAAGCCCTCATCACACATTTCAAAATGTATTAGCTCCATGCGTGGTGATGGAACGGAAGCCTACCTCTGCTCCCCCAACCTTCATGCATTGATCCAAAGGCATGAATAGGTTGATGCTTGCATATAGTGCATGTATGTAGGTGACAGAGTACCTCGTAAAAGGCAATATCCCCATTTATATAGACAGTGCTTGGGCATGTACAGTTTTAAAATCATAAGCGCTATTCAGACTTCTGACTCAACATGTTGGGGACACCAGGTGTCAACTCTGCTACTGTGCATAACCTACATATTTTTTTAAGTGTCAGCCGAGCTCAAGTAGTAATAACTTACCTCAGTGTTTTCAGAATACCTTGGTTTGTATCATCTGCACTTGACCAGGAAAGCAGAAGGGTGGTAAAGTTAGTTGTCTTCCAGGTAATCGCAGTTGCAGAGGAATATGTAGAGGCCACAGTATACAAGGTACTTTTTTGAGCAATTAAACCACATTTTTGGGTGAGGTTTCAGTGCCTTGTATTACTTAGGGCCGCAGGCCACACTCCTCTTACTTCCTTGCCTGTTACTAGGCTAGTCCAAATCCTTTTTGAAATGTTTCAACTTCCGCAATCAAACAAAAACCAAACCCAAAAGCAAAACTTTATACTAAAGCCACAGTTAAGTGTTATCAGTCTAATTTATGAAGCCAAGTTTTGCTTTATACATCAGTCTAAGCACTCATTGCTTGCTACTATCTCAGGCTGAAAATGGGCTCTTTATATGGGATGGTAGAAATGCTGCAAATGGCAGGGTTTCCAGGCCCTCCTTTTCATCACCCCAGCCCACTAACTTGATCGGAAAAAGCCAATCAAGATGAAAAGCTTCCAGACTCAAAGGAGCTACTTGCCTTGAAACAAGACATACAGGACTCTGTTGTAGAGGGTCCTGCATACTGAAGACAGTACGCAAAGCCTTCTGGGTTGTTTTCTTTATTCATTTCCAATAAAATAATACTAGCACACTGATATTATCATTGAGCAGAAAGCCCAGGGCAGGCATTGAGCTCTTACCTCAGCTGTAAATGGGTGAAGTAGCCTTAGGCATGGGGTTGGATCCAAACTAAATCTGGAAATTCCAACTGCCTTTCCCCACATCCCGCAGCAGCAGCCATTCATAGAGATGAGTGGAAGGCAGCAAAGTTCCATTCTGCCATTAGAAAATTTAGTCTGCATCCAACCCATTGTCACATCTGCCACAGGGGTATGGTATCAGGCTACACTACTGGTCTGTTGTAAGAATTAGCAAAGTCATGGGGAGGTGCTTCAGTGTGCTACCTAAATGACAATTAAAGGTAAAGGTAAAGGTTCCCTTGCTTGAAAGCCAGTCGAATCCGACTCTAGGGTTGCGGTGCTCATCTACGTTTCAAAGCCGAAGAGCCAGCGCTGTCTGAAGACGTTTCCGTGGTCATGTGGCTGGCATGACTAAACACCAAGGCGCACGGAACGCTGTTTCCTTCCCACCGAAGTGGTACCTATTTATCTACTTGCAATTTCTTGCTTTCGAACTGCTAGGTTGGCAGGAGCTGGAACTAGAGATGGGAGCTCACTCCGTCATGCGGCACACTCGGGTCTCGAACTGCTGAACTGACCTTCCACAGCCTGCAGTTCAGCGTCTTAACCACTTGAGCCACCACAGCTCCTAAAATGACAATTAGGGACTCCCAAATTTATGCCCTTAGCCAGAGTAGGATGACCAGATCCAAGGAGGGGGACAGTCCTGCCATGCCTTGAATAGGCACATGACCAAATTGATTCTGTCAGGGGAGACTTATGTAAACTCTGTAGCACTATGACATGGTGAGTAACACCATCTTCTAGAAAATATTAGAGGTAGAGAAACCAATGACACCTCCTGTATTTCCAGTATCAGGCAGATTGTGCATTCCAAGTGCCCATGAGGTACCAGTAGGTACAGAAGTAGCTTTGGAAACCTGTTGACCATGTCTACTGAAGCCTCAGAACATTGGCTGAGCAGGACATCCTGTGGTTAGGAATGGTCTTCGGCTTTAATTCTCATCTCCCAGAACAGGCCAGAATATGTACGCCTACATATTTAGTCAGACTGCAGTGTCAGGATTAGACAGCACAAAAGCTGATGTTTTTAGCACTCTCACAGCCTTTGCCCCCTGGTTTGCCTTGTCCCTCCCTCATATGTCCTGCTAACACTTAGGCCACACCCCTGTAACCAACCATTACTTGTATCCACAGAGATGTGGGGTCTCTCAAAACCACAGCAGGAAAGACTAAAGACATTACACCAGGTAAGACCAGAATGCAGCTGAGTTTATTTTTCTGCCTTGTGAAGCAAGAAAAGCAACTAGGAGAGGACCAAGACAGTTAAATAAGCGAGATGCCCTTGAATGCGATGTCGCCGTCGACACAGATATATTCGATGCCTTCATGGCCGGAGCTGTTGGGGAACTTGAACTGAGTGTTGTCGGGCAGCGTAACAGTCAACTCTTTTTTGTCATGAGAGAAAATGATCTAAAACAAACAAAGTGTTCATCATAAGAGATTATCCTCCATTTGAAATCCCAGTTCCTTTCAAGCTTTCTAGAAGGTTCAAACTAAATGCAATGCTGGGGGAAGAGTGCTTAGTGGTAGGAATTTGCACATGCACAGTGGCTCATTTGAAATGGGTGATTATCCCTGTAAAGTAGCTACATGTGCCCAAGAGCTGCTCTGATGGGGCAAATGCCAGCCCACAGGGATTTTCCCAGTCCGAAAAAGGTGTGGGAAGGAAGGTTTAAATCCTCCTTCCCCTTGTGCCATGGTTCCAGTCTTAATCAGGCCCCTAAACTCAATTTTTGGAGAAAAAAGACCAGGAGCTCTGTTCACAGACTTCCCCTGTGTCACATCTGTTTGACTTCCCCATGTTGGAATTTGAACTCATGTCTTTGATTCTAACCAGACTCTAGTCTTCCAGATAGGAATTCAATACCAGCAATATTTCCCTCACACACTTAGGACTCCTTCATCCTTCCCAAAGATGTGTTCATTGTGCCTACTCATCCTCAGAGGTAGCAAAAAAAGGGGCCCATGATATACCAGTGCTGTCCTTACTGGAACACCCATCTGAAAACGGAACTGTTTTTCCACTCCAGAGCAGGGTCCATGGGAAATCATGGCTTCCAATTTTGACTAGATGTTCAGAGTGTATCATTTCTGAGCTCATCCACCCAACTCAAGCTGGACCATTTCAAGCCTCACCTCTGCAGTGGTGCCCTCCTGGAAGGGAAAACTGCTCTCCCTGTGTTCTTTCCCCCACTGGGCACCGCTCTTGCTGTTGCATACGATGGTCCTCACGTCGCCGTGAGCATCAAAACGTGAGTTGAAGTGCATCATGATTTCATCCTCTTTTTTGCCCAGATTAATTACGAAACTGAGAGACAGAGGAGAAGAGGTTATTGCAAAGCCCTCCTCGTGCTTTGGAGACTTCTCGGCAATACGACACACTCTTGGGCCTCTTCGGGCTGGCCAGCTCAAACACTCCCAGACTCCAGAATCTCTGTCTGAAGAGGGCGTTGGCATCAATATTTCACTTCAGGCACTCCTGAACAGATGGCACCAAATACAGATTTGGAAGCCTGAAGAGACACACGCCTCTGGGGATGTGATGAAGAAGGAGCAGATGGGGGTGGGGAGATAAAGCATCTCCATGTTTCCCTGCTCCGAATAACTATCCAGGGCCCCGTTCACACGGCAGATTTGCCGCAAGATAGCCACGGGTGGTGGGCAGATTATCCGTGCGCGATCACACCCCAACATCTGGGAAGTGGAGCGCACCCGTGGCCAATCTGTGGCTTATCGCCGAAGACACGCGATAAAAAAGTAGTACCTCCAAAGTACTGGCAAACGGTTTGCCACGGGATGCCTCCGGATGCCCGCGGTGTGATCGCACTGGCGCACAGCTTTCTCCTCCGGCCCCTCATTTACGCGCCGGCTCCGAGGGGAGGACCCGTGGTGTGCCGCCGGCGCATCTGATCGTATAATCGTGGATCAAACTGTGCCGGGGCAATTTGCCACACCTCCCCCCGGCGATATCCGGCTCATGTGACTGGGGCCCTGGTGCCTTTAAGAGATTCCCGTAGCTGAAGATGCCTGGACTGAACTGGAGGCCTTCCGCACATTACCAAGCCAGAACCACTCCAAGAATAATTAACTTTGCCCATAGTAATGTTTATATCAGAAGGGGACTCAGTCCTAGCAAGTTCTAGCTTTGACTCGACAAATCTGAAAGTTTTCAGTCTGCCTGGAGTGTCCTGCATATTTCTTACAAGATGGCACCATTTATATTTCTTAAGGATATTTTAAAGTCTGCAAGGATTTAGCAGTAAAATGCAACAGTTGTGCAAGAGTTCAAAAGCAGAGAGGTTTGGAATCCTACAAAAGGATAGAATTCTCTATCAAGCACAGAGACTCTCTTGGGCTTTCATTCAAAAAGGGACCCCTCGGATGCGTGTGAAGGGCCATCAAGTCACAGCTGTCTGATGGTGACCGCAGCAAAGGGGCTTTCAAGGCAAGTGAGAAGCAGCAGTGGTTTGCCATGGCCTTCCCCTGCAGAGTCCGCTGTGGAGGTCTAAAGAGACCTTGGCTTTCCCTGTAACAGAAGCAGGATCAGCCATACAAAGCTTCCAGTGCCATCCTACGCAGTTACACTTCAGTGGACTCAGAAAAGATGGCACTGTCGCAAGGGGGACTTCCCTGGCTTAGGACTGCTTCAGACATTACAGTTCAACAGGAATGCAGTGCAGCACTGCAGAAGCCTAAAATAGCAAAGTGAAATTGGTCTGTGCCAACTAGTGCATGTCTTTTATATTGTACATGAGAGAAATAACACCCAGGGGTCTTTTCGTAGAAAAAGAGCTAGGGGAACTCATTAGTATAACTCATTAGCATATGCCACACCCCCTGACATCACCGGAAGTGTGTCATAAGGCCACACACCCCGCCCCCAACGGTCCCGGCTGCCAGCGGCGGCCTTGCAGCTCCACTGCCGAGCCCCATGAGGGGCCCGGCGGTGGACCTGCAAGGCCGGCGGGAGTGCAAGGAAACCCCCGCGAAGGCCCTCCCTGGCCCCAGGCATGCAGGGGTGGGGAGAGGCAGGGAGGAAGCAACTTACCCTCCCTCTTCTCTTGCCTCCTCCTGGCTGAATGAGGGCCGGAAGCGGGGCGGCCGGAAGCAGGGGGTGGGGCTTTGTCATAAGCCCCGCCCCCCGTACCTCACCCGGGTGAACTGCGATCCCCCGCGATCCCCCCCCGAAATGACCTCTGATAACACCCCTTAAACTTACACAGTGCAGGTCTGAAAACACATATGCATTAACTGTAGCATTTAAAACAGGTCTTGAAAGTGCCTTGCCCCTTTCTAGAGTAGCCACTGCTTTTTCAAGCTGCAGACCCATGCACGGCCTATTAAGGCTGTTTCCAGCCCTCAAGAACCGTCTGCTGCCTCTTTCTGCCTTCACATTTCTTACCAAGCATGTTTCCCAGGGAAGCTCCCTGTTCGCAAAAACTGGCTTGGAAGAGTATTTCATCTCTAAAGAGCCCTCCCTACCTCAAGGCTTCATCAGGTAGTCAGGAGCCAAGGAACTTCTGAGAATTAAAGGAAAGTTTAAGTGATGTTATCAGGGAGAAGGGGAAGAGCTGGGGCATGTTTATCTTTGAGATTATCGGTTCCCATTGTAGGAGCCAAGTTTCCTCTACTGGGCCAAAAGCCCCCCTCTCTCTCGAATGCCCAACCACAGATCTTTGACAAGGATAATTAGCACAGGCAGAATTTCATCACACACACACACCCCACACACACCTTTCCCTCTTTCTCTTGAATTTAGGTGAAGATTTCTAGCAGCACTTGGACAGTTTCCGAATTTTGCTGCTGCAACACGTTCCCTGTCTGTGGCACATGAAATGCAGAAGCACCTTGTGCTACTGGCTTTTGACAAGAGGATCCATCTTCCAAGAGAACTGTTCTATCAGGTCTTTGACTATACCTTTACTACAACTCCTCCCCCCTCAGGCTGCCTTTGCGGCAAGCCACATCTCTCCCACCATCTGCACAGTTTTATCACAAACTACTGCTGATTAAACTGCATGTCCAACAGGCAAGCTCTTTTGGAAGGTTCATCTTCCTGTCCCAATTCAGAAATAGCACAGTTAAGCCCAAAGTAACATTAGTCCAGCTATCTAGTTCTGAACACGGTCAAAGGAGATGGGCTTTTTCTCCTTTAAGGGACAACTCCATCAAGATCAGATACTCTTCCAAGGCAGTTTTGAGAAAAGGGAACTTCCCCGGGACACATCCTTGGTAAAATGATGGGAGGACTTTTAAAAGGTTTTTGAAATGCTGGTTAAGAGCTGGCAAGTCTAAAATGGGTGAAAGGAAGCAAGCGGAAACCACAAGTGGAGAAAAGAGCAGGTGCGTGCAGCTTCATCTTACAGTGTGCATTTTTCCTGATGCTACGCAAGCTAGGAGATGGTATAATGTGTATAACAGTGTGCTAACAGAGGGAAAAAACTATTAGAACAGACTATTATAGTGGCAAGGAAGGGGGGGGGGAGAAGACAGTCTGGCTGGAAATGAAACTGCTGTCTCCAACAGCTGTTTCTATTTAGTCTCTTGGCAGAAGATGCAAATCTTTGTTACAGTGTGACTCACTGGAAAATGCTTGCGTGGGTGGGGATTAACCTCCAGCAATGGCTCTTCTCCATCAAAAGAGAGAGGCGGGGGAAGAAGAGAAACTGGCTCTTTTATACTCCATGGCAAGAATCATTTTACCCCCATCACCCAGGATATATCTACAGACTTAGGGGGCAACTTACGCAAGGCACAGGAGGATCTAGAAAATCCGCTTCTCACCACCAATGCTACTTTTGTGTCTAAAAGGGGAGTGATCCAGATCTAAAAATACCACTTCCAAAGCTGCTGTCTATCCCATGGGGGAGTACATATGGTGCCTACAACATCCCCTCCCAGAAGACAAATAGCAGCTTGGGTGGAAATATATCAGAAAAATTATATGACTGAAGGATCCCCCTCTACAGGGCTGCCCCTCCAGCTTTCTCATATCACGGTTGCTTTCAATGCCCCCTCTAAGCTGTGGAGTCTGGTGAGCAAAAATTCTGCTTTGTGAGCTGCTGGCATTAAAGTTGTGAGTGAATGATTTGGCTACTGCATAAATTAGTTTCTTCTGGAGCCATCCTTCCCAAGCAAAGACAAAAATGTGTGAGCCGGAGGCTAAAAAGCTGTGAGCTAGCTCACACTAACTCACCTTAGAGGGAACCCTGGTTGCTTTGGATTTTTTAAAAAGAGAGAAAATGTCTAGTGTAACTCTTCAACTAGTTTCAGGTGAGGTAGCTGTGTTGGTCTGAAGCAACAGAACAAAGTTTGAGTCCAGTGGCACCTTTAAGACCAACAAAGTTTAATTTTGGGTGCATGCATATGAAAGCTTATACCCAGAATTAAACTTTGTTAAAGATGCCACTGGACTCAAACTTTGTTTTCTTAAACTAGTGTAATACTCATTCCCTATTTCCAGGGAAACTTGAAAATGGTAACTCAGTGAGGAGGGGCTTAACAGAGACCCCCACGGTGCTCTGTGGGGAAACCATCATGACAAGTGAACACAGGATAAAACTGTGACAAGTTTTCAGCACAGATCCATCTCCTCCAATGCTCAGTTTACCTCTTAGCTCCGGTTGGAATGTCTCCTTTCACAGCAATACGCTGCCCAGGGGCAACACGGATGTTGGTGCAAGTAATTCCCTAGAGAAGGAATCCAGAGATGGGTTACTGGCTGTTCTCTTAAGAAAGAGATGAATGTAACAACCGGAATCTCATCATATTACACATAACTGCGCTTTCAGCTTCTTACCATCTTCCTGCTCTAATTCAACACAAGACCATCTTATTAGCCACAGGATGTTTAAACAAACTTGGATACATAATGCTAAATGTCAAAGCAGAATATCATTGAAAGCAAATGCAAGAAGTGGGCAAATGAGTCATCCATAGCCAAGGAGTCTTGCCACACCCTAAAGATTAAAGATGCATGAAATTAATCAGGATACACTTTTTAAGTTTAGCAGCTAAACATGACTTAAACTTTAGCGATGGGAAGTCCCAGTGCCAAGATCACTCTCTTATTACTACCCAAGGTCAATTTGCAAAAAACCTATTTTTTATACTTCTGAAGGGTATAAGAAGAAGAAGAGATTGGATTTATACCCCGCCCTTCACTCAGAGTCTCAGAGCAGCTTACAAACTCCTTCCCTTCCCCTCCCCACAACAGACACCCTGTGAGGTAGGTGGGGCTGAGAGAGCTCTGACAGAAACTGCCCTTTCAATGACAGCTCTTGCCCAAGGTCATCCAGCAGCTGCGAGTGGAGGAGTGGGGAATCAAACCCGGTTCTCCCAGATTAGAGTCCGTGCACTTAACCACTACACCAAACTGGCTCTTACTTAAGTATTACTTAAGTATTATTTAGATCCTAGCCTGCATTAGAATTTCAAGGCTGCTTCCATGTGGAGGTTTTACTGCAGTTTAGCATTCAAACTGGAGCAAATTCCCCACCCCCCTAAAAAAAATTCACGTGATGTCGTCTCCTAACCATCCACTTTGTGGGTTTGAGGACATCTTTTTTTGAAAGATCACAATCAAAAAATCTGTGCCTGCCATATTGATGGGAAAGGGCAGAGTTTTTAAATATCAAACCTATACTGGCATCATTTTCCTTCCCTTAACCACCTTCCAGCCACTATTCTCCTCTAGAGTTTTTTCATGTTGTTAAAAAAGGGCAAATTTACTATAATAATATTATAACAATATGTTAACACGATCTACTAGTTCCTTTGAATTCTCAGCTTTCATTTTAAAAAAAAAATTCTAACCCTTTTCATTGTGAACTATAAGGGGAAAGGTGTACTCCTTATATCTGCAAAGATCCTTGCTTTTTTACAAAAAACTTGAAAAATTGAATAGATGGTTGTAACATTACTGTACTGTAGGGATCTACCAACTGCTGGCTTTTAAAAAAAAAGCTTTAAAAGACGCTACAGTGGCTGGGGGCAGGGAGTGGCTATCATGTGAGGGAGGAGCAGAGGCAAGGTTAGTGCAGGAGAAACTGCCATATGGACGTTCCACTGCTACTGCCAATGCCTCCAGCATCATTCCAGTCAAGTGAGTCTGGAGCAAAGATATTCAGCTCCTCAAAGGCACACAAGAGCATTGCCACAGGTTTACATTTGGCAAGTGTTGCATGCAAAGTACTGTCACCTGTGTGAACAAAAAAGAAGCTATGCAAGATTAATGTGATAACAGGATTATCTATCCCCTTAACTATCTTGTTGCACTTATTCTGGACAGAGAAATAAGCTCTTTCCCCGCCCTTCCAATTCATATTTATGGGTGGAGTGGGGACTCTAGAAGCTGGGAAAAGTAGCTTTTCCAGATTAGCACCAAAAACAATGATGTAAATTTAAGTAGGTGGTATTAGCGAGGGCAAGACAATGAGGGAGATCAAGCAGTAATCAAATTGTGAGTAAGGAAAATAAAAGGGATACTGGCATTTATTCTGCATAAATGGAACAGATTTTAACAGACCCTCAAGGAGATCTTCATGACTCCTCCACGATTCTTGTCTCTTCCCTGCTTGCGGCTCTCCTGGGCTCCAGGATTAAGCCTCCTCTTGGGGAGCACTCAGCTCTCCCCGCGTGCAGAGCAGCAAGTCCATGAGCAGCACACTGCTTCCATGTGCCACGCAAGGTGAGGGATACAGTTTCCCACCACTTGGAACGGCAGCTGCCTCAATCTCTTCTAAGCCCCCTCCTTTTATCAGAGCCACCATTCCACGTGGCTCTTGATCGCATGAGTCCCACCATCACCTTTGGGTGGTCAAAAGGGGCTACTTTCGCTTTTCTGCCACTAGAGAAGTTGGTAGGAGACAGGCCAGTGCTTTGCAAGAAGGAAAATGATGCTTACATGACTGTGGAAATCAAGCACAGCTTGCTCAGCAAGCTATTCCCAGCCTCAGTTCCCTATCAGTGAAATGGGAACAAAGACCTACCTCGCTGGGCTGTTTTGAGGCTCAAGATCAGATTTTGCACGGTGTTTGGCATGTGTGTGAAATGACAGGTGGCAATTCCTTGTTACAATTGTGTATTCCCCTGCCCCTTAACAGCAGCCAGACAGAAATTCAGCAGGGGGAGTTTCCCATCTCTGCAGCCAGAAGAGCTCCCCCTGTTCAGTTCCATCCTCAGGATGCTGTTAGTGAGCATTAACAAAACTGTAAGAAGAGAAGTTATTGACTTCCCTTCCCCATAATGAAGAGCAATCAATCTTTTAATACAGTTTCCCATCACAGGGCTAAACTTAGCATCTCCTCTGGCATAAACTGTTCTGAACCACACCCAGATGCCTCCTCATGCACCTCTTTGAAATCCTCATTACACCCATCAGGTGCCAATGAGAGCTTCAAATTTCAGGATTTATGATAGCCCTGGGCTCTCTGCAAGCTCCTGTAAATGGGATTAGAGAGTCTGGTCACAGGATGCTCAGGCTGAGCCAGAAGCTGTTTCAGCAGCTTCCTCTGTCAGCTGCGTGGATCAAAAAGGCTGGCAGGCTGAGCGCCAGGAGACAATGCATGAAAACTGAAGCATGTCTAAGCAGAACACTCCATCAGATACAAGAGAGACAGCCAGGGAAAGCCCACTGCTACGAATGGTTCTCCTGGAGACATCTCCATGCTACTCCTGCTGTAATGACAAAGTCTTAGCAGGACACACAGTCTGCTTAATTTTACAGCCTGCACCCAATTGCACTTCAAAACTGTCAGCACAACTTTTGAAAAGTACACTGCCTGTCTCCCTCCAACCCTCTTTCCCATTTCTGCAGAGATTCAGGTGCAAGGAAGGCACTCAGATACCACCGGTGTGTTTGGAAATCCCCCCACCAGCATCCCAGACTCACGGGCATGGTGCTGATCTTCTAGCTGTGGGCTGCAACTGCTCTCTGGGGTCCTGCAGGCAGAAGCGGGACCGGAGGTGCCACTCCCTTGCCTTTAAATAGGCAAGCATCTGATGAGTCACACCTTCCTCCAGCCAATCAAAATGCAGTCATGGGAAATGGGTGGGAAGGGGGCCTGGCAGAAAGATCAAGGCAGCAATTTGTGGGGGAGGTGGCCTAGTCTGGCCTCTCCTTTGGGATGCTGAAGCTTGCCTTCAGTTAGGTCGCCAGGCAATCACTGGAAGAGCACGTCCTGCTCAGCCTGGTAGTGACGAGGCCAATGGAAAATAGTTTTACAGTGAGAGGATTTTATTGTCCAAGATTCCCCCCCCCCCCCCGAACTTAAACATAGTACTTGGCAGGCAAGATCTTTGGCCCCTTTGTTTAGAGGGGAAAAAATAAGCCTCGAACTACAGCTAGATGTACCAGAGCCAAAAGATGCAGAGATATTTGAATAATGGCTCTTATAAAAGGGGGGGAGGGAGAAAACTGCATTGCTGAGGCCTTCTACAGGGGCTATTTAAGACATTATCAAGACAGAATTCAAATGCACAAGCCAATTTAAGACCAATTTATCTAAAAACGAATGGCAGGCATTTGTTAACATCACATATTATCTTATCATACTGTAACCCCGCTGTCCCTGCCAGAGATTTTAATCCTCAGTCTTTCCTTCTGTCACATTACCTCCTGTGATAGTGGGAGGTGATGGGGTGGATGGGAGTGGATTGGTCCCTGTACGCAATGCGCTGGACCTCTTGCAGCATTGCAGAGTCCAGAGGTTCGCTTCCGCAAGAGAACTGGTTTTCCACATAGTGGGTTTGATCTCGTTTGACATCCAAACTGGAGTAGAAGGGTTTTTTTGTTTTTGGAGCATCTACACAACCTTATCCTCTAATCATCCACTTTTTGGGTTTTCCTCTGCTTTGCAGCAATCTTTCCCAAACCTAGTTTATCTGATCTTTTGGGAAACATCATTGTCAAAATGTTTTTGCCCACAACATGAACTGGAAAGTATGCATTTTTTGGAAGGTTCCATCCACATTGGCAACATTTTCCTCCCCCCCATTTTAAAAATTATATACTTTCTGTGATTCAAGTAACACAAAATAGTTTATAATTTCAGATTCCTCCTCTCAGTCAAGTGGCTTCCAGTGCAGCTAACAAAAATAATATACCACTGAAGCACATAAAATGCAACTTCTTACAAATAACATACCAATTCAAAATTAAAGTTAATAACCAATCGTCAGTGCAGGGGATAGTCTAGCAGAATAACAGCTTTAGATCAGTTAATCCAAGGAGGAAGAGGAGAAAGAAAGAAGGGAAAACAAAGAAAAAGCTTTAACTTGACGCTTGAAACTCTGTAAACTTAGCACAAGGGAAATGGCTGTTGGGAGGGAGTTCCACAATAAAGGTGCCACTACAGAAAGGGCCCTGTTCTTGGTAACCACCTTCCTTGTCTCTGACAGTACTTAAAGGACCATCATATAGAGGATGGTGTGGAGTTATTTTCTGTTGCCCCGGAAGGTCGGACCAGAACCAACGGGCTGAAATTAAATCAGAAGAGTTTTTGGCTAAACATTAGAAAGAACTTCCTAACAGCTAGAAGCGGTTCCTCAGTGGAACAGGCTTCCTTGGGAAGTGGTGGGCTCTCCTTCTTTGGAGGTTTTCAAACAGAGGCTAGGTGGCCATCTGACAGCAATGCTGATTCTGTGAACTTAGGCAGATCACGAGAAGGGAGGGCAGGAAGGGTTGCATCAGTGATTAGTTCTCGTGGCCCTTTCTTACATGCCCAGGGAAATGCCGATTGCCTGATATAGAATGTATCTCAGTAATCTAATCTGGGAATGTTCATACAAAGCATGGGGATCCATGGCCAGATGCTGCCTATCCAGGAATAGCCACGGCTGCCACACCCACCAAAGTTGGACAAAGACACTATGACTCACAGAGAAGGTCTGAGCCTCCCTTGCAGTAGGAAAGGGTACTCTTGCTCTTTTCTGCTGTTACAGACAGACTAACATGGCTACCCGTCTGGAGCCTCCCTTGGTACTCATGGAACTAATAGTACATGTGCAGTGTAGGCAGACTCCTAGATTCACAGCTGGCAATATTATCACTCAGAAGCACATCAGTCTTGTCTAGACTGGGTTTCAGCTTATTGGACTTCATCCAGCCTACTCCTTCCTCCAGACATCAGTTTGGAACATCCACTGAATTGTCTGATAGCTGGAGAGAAGCAATGAAGCTGAGTGCATCAGCATATTGATGACACTGCCCTCCACATCTCCTGAAGAACTCTGCCAGGAGTTTCAAGCAGATGCTGAACAGAGCAGGAACAAGATGGAACCCTGCAGGACTCACAGTATAAGTGCCTGGGGTCCAAGAAGATGTCCCACAGGCACCAGCTTCTGTTAGCAGTCACACATCAAGCTAACATGTATTGAATCAGATCACTGATCCATCAAGGTTGCCCCAGTTCCCATCCACAGTGGCTCCCAATTTGCTTCAGGGCCCAATTCAAGGTGCTGGTATCGACCTTTAAAAACTCTGTATGTCTCGGGCCATCATACCTTAAGGGCTGCCTTCTCCAGAGGTCATTTCGGGGGGAATCGCGGGGGATCGCAGTCCCCCCGGGTGAGGTACGGGGGCGGGGCACATGACGAAGCCCCGCCCCCTGCTTCCAGCCGCCCCGCTTCCGGCCCTCATTCAGCCAGGAGGAGGCAGGAGAAGAGGGAGGGTAAGTTGCTTCCTCCCTGCCTCTCCCCACCCCTGCCTGCCTGGGGCCAGGGAGGTCCTTCGCGGGGCTTCCTTGCACTCCCACCGGCCTTGCAGGTCCACCGCTGGGCCCCTCATGGGGCTCGGCAGTGGAGCTGCAAGGCCGCCGCTGGCGGCCGGGACCATTGGGGGCAGGGGGTGTGGCCACTTCCGGTAGTGTCAGGGGGTGTGGCCTTATGACACACTTCCGGTGATGTCAGGGGGTATGGCATATGCTAATGAGTTATGCTAATGAGTTCCCCTAGCTCTTTTTCTACGAAACGACCCCTGCCCTTCTCCCATATGAACCTACCCATCCACTCCAGACATCTTCGAAGGCCCTGCTTCAGGTGCCCCAGCCATCTGAGTCTAGGCAGGTGGTAACCCAAGAAAGGGCCTTCTCAGTTGTGGCACCAAAACTTTGGAACTCCCTCCCCAGGGGGATTTGTCTGTCTTTCTCTTATTATTGTCGTCCACCAGTGAGTGAACACTTTTTCCCTTCTGTTTGGAGCACTCCCAATAACTGTTATTGGCCCCTTCCCTGTTTTTTGCTGTTATGTGCAGTTACATGTTTTTATTGAATTATTGTATATGCACTTTATCTTGAATGTTTTGAATGCTGAAATGTTTAAATGGCTGATTTCCCCCCCCCCCGAACTTGCACACAACATTGTCATGCAGGTTTCCCCAAGTCTCACTGTATTTCCCCCCAAATATGCTATAGCACAATCTTTCTGGAAATATTATACTCTATGTGGGCATGGGATGCAATGAACATGAAGTTGAGCGGACTCCGGAGGGTGGCAGAGGACAGGAGGGCCTGGCATGATGTGGTCCGTGGGGTTGCGAAGAGTCTGACTCAACTGTGCAACAGAACAACAACAAAAACTGGGTATGGTCACTGTACGGATAGGAAGGTGCAGATTTTTGGACCTCTCCACTACATTGGTGCTATTTCCCCTAAATACCCCTTGCACCTCCCACCTCCCCCCACAGGTATTTTGCTGACTTTTTAAAAAATCAGTAGTTGCAATACTACTATAATGCTAAAACACTCTAGTGACATAGCTACTACCAATTTTTTAGAAAGTGGACAAAATTCTGCTGGTGGTGTGTGTGTGTGTGTGTGGGGACTGGTAGGCATGAGAGGATATGAAAGAAAACATGGAGAATCCACCGTGTGGATACTCCATTGCCACTGTGAATACCTCTTCATTTGCAGCAGGAACAATTGCACAGTGGAGAATTATCCTGGTGTGGAAGCAGCTTTTGTGAACAGTAATGATGGTAACTAGACCACAGGCTAAACCGAATGCACCCTAATCGGAAACACAATCATCCTACTTCCTTTTCCTGCTTCTTCATGCACAGTCTTATATCTATCATGTTCTAAAAGAAATAACCCCATTTTACAGCAGATGCACACTGACTCTCCTCCACCACACAGAAGCACCTTTGCAAATCCGTTCAGAGCAGACAGAAGCAGATATATGCCAGCATCCTTTTTCACTCTTTGATGAGTGCACTCATTTGCAAACTCTCCCTCTCAGGCAGTCAGCAGAATTCTTTTGGAGATGGGAGAGGCCGTCTCAGTGACTAATGAAAGGCACTCTATACATATTAAGGGCCACCACCTACCCTGTAATCAGATACAGACTAGTGATTAACAAGCAGGACACTCTGTATGTGCTCAGTATAAATGAATAATTTCAGTTTGTAATGTCATAATATTGATAACTCAGTTTTCCCAGTCATTATATCCCAGTCAAGATGATCGTCCATAAAAGCAATTAAGTTAATACTATTTGCCCGCACAGATTCTCTCCTTCCTGCTCTTAGCCAAGTGTAGTCTTCTTACAGTGCAAGCCATGTTATTCAACAGGGCTTGTGTGTGAGTGTGTGTGAGTGTGTGTGTGAAGCACTGACATGCCAACCCTATGAATTAATGTCTTCCTAAACATCATATCATTAACAGCCATTCTCAGATCTTGCACACTGAGGGTTGTAGCTTCCTTGATCCACCTCATGTTGGGTCTTCCTCTTTTCCTGCTGCCTCCAACTTTTCCTAGCACTATTGTCATTTCCAGTGGCTTACTCCCAGATAAGTGTGTATAAAAACTGCAACTGGAGTCTGCCCCGTTCACTTCAGTCCTGCAAGAGCGGTAGGGGAAGAAAAAAAACAGCATGCTGCTGGGGGATCGCACTGGCCGTCCTCCCAGAAAGCAAAATAGTTCAATGTAAGTGCATTTTTTCATGAACCAATCTAGAGGCTCACAAAATCCATCTTTGAAAGCTACC